AAAATAGTTCTCCTCAAAGATCAGACTTTCTTTTTTCATTTGAATGTTTTAAATTAAGCCCTAAGAATAAAGAGAACTCTTTCCGTGTCTTTCTGGTTGGTGAAACACCAGGTATCATCTTCATGTGGTTTCCCCAAGGGAAACTGGAGGTCCACGTGGAACTTTCCCGCTCTCCTTTGCGGGCTGAGCCGCCCTGAGAAGGCAGGAGCAGCTCCTCCCAGGCCCACCAGCGCTTCATGTCGGCTTCCCCTGCCATGTGGCTTCCTGGCAGCTTCTGATTAATTGGAGCGGGGAGGGATGATTACTGAAATAACGCAATGTAAGGCAGAATCCTGTGAGCTTCCCAGCCACAAACCAAACCTCTCCTTTGTTGGAGAGGTACTCTGGTCCCCTCCTTCCTGGATGATTCTCCCATGTGGACCCTGGCAGAGCCAGAGCCACCAGGAGGAGCTACAGAGCGAGTCTTCACCCACCCACCGTGGGAGGTGCCTTCAGGGGTCAGAGTTCAAAGTCCCTCTGCTTTGTGGCTGGCATGGCTCTGCTGTCCAGGACGAAAGCATGTTATTCTCACATTCACTTTTTCCCTAAACCACATGCCTCACTGTGAAGGGAAGCTGGGTCCATTTGCCATCAAGTATCAGCAGGTGAGGAACCTTCCTGAGCCTATCCTGAGGCCGTGAAGAGTCCCCAACTCCTCTCAAGACACTGTTACAATCTGGCTGGACATTGTCAACTGGCTGACTTCATGTCTCCACTTCACTGGGCCAGAGGTCGTGCAGACATTTGTTCTAATGGTATTCTAGGTGAGTCTGTGCAGGTATTTCCAGAAGCGATGAGCCCTTGAACTGTAGACTTAGAAAAGCACCTGGCTCTCCCCAGTGTTGGTGGGCCTTGTCCAATCAGTTGATGGCCTAACAAAAAGGCTGACTTCCTCAGAGTAAGAGAATTCTTACTGCTTGACTGTATTTAAATCGAGACCTCAGCTCTTTCCTGTCTCTGAACTTGAACTGAAACATCAGCTCTTCCTGGGCCTAGAGATTGTCCACCTACAGAGTGGAGCCCACACAATTGGCTCTCCTGGTTCTCAGGCCTTGGAACTATACCCTCAGCCCTGCTGGGTCTCCAGCCTGCCAACTCAGTCTGCTGACCACCTCCGTGACTCCATAAGCCAATTCCGTGTGGTAGATGTATAAAACAAAATGTCGTATGCATGATTTGGGATTTATATTTATGTATTTAGATATTGGATCTTAAATGTCCCCCACATGACCATGTGTGAAAGCTTGGTCTCCCACTTGGCACTGTTGGGAGGGGGAACCTTCAAGGGGTGGGCTCTAGGGGAAGTCTAAATCATTGAGAGGATGCCTTGAAGGGAACACAGCCCCTTCCTTCTCCATTTTCTATTTCAATTCCAAGCCGTGAAGTGAACATCTTTGTCTGCACATGCTTCTGCCATGATGATGCACTGCCTCACCACAGGTCCAAAAATGATGGCGCCATTCAATCATGAACAGAAACCTCCAAAACCGAGTCAAAGTAAACCTTTCCTCTCTCAAGTACTTTGTTACAGTAACAGAAAGTGGACTAACACAGTAGATGTACACACACACCCACACATAGACACGTTGTGGTTCTCTAGAGAAGCCTAACACAGTGACAAACGAGACTAAAACTGAATTTGGACTTCAACCCACAGTCATCCTTTGAGGCTGAGCCAGAGACTCAGCCGCAGATTCCTAGGAGGTCCACCTCCATCTCCACCACCTGGAAGAGGCCCTCTGGGGTGCAGGGGGTTTCATGTGACATGGGGCTAAATACTCCTACTAATGAGATTTGTTTTTAAAATATTCTAAGGGGACCGGGGTCCTCACTGTTTGATCATGGTGACCAAAGCCCTCACTGACAC